TGCACTCTTCCCAGAAAATGCATGTATGTGCATGTTGCTGCAATCTGCATGCACGTGCACACACACACACAATTTGCATACTACTGCAGGGGGATGAGACAGTTTCTGTCCACGTGCTCCCAGATCCCCAGATCCCAGGTTTAGAGTCTCTGTTGAAACCTGTCACAGCAAGAAAGAGGAGGCAAGGGAGCATCGTAGAGCCTTGCATGTGAATTTTGCTGTGGCATTAACTTGGCCTGTGATCCTAGCGTGTTGGGCCATCTCTTGGGCCTCAGTTTAGCCAGAGCTGTTGTGGCAGCTGATATAGAGTCTTCAGGGCTCTTCCCAGCTCTGCAGCTATGGGGCTCAATGACATCCCACCCCTGCTTCCCAAGGCCAGGCAGGGCAAAGGGAGCGGGTTCTGGGCCTCTTCCTCCACAGTATCTCCTAGGGAGGAAGGTGGGACAGCCAGAAAAGGAGACCCTGGGAACAAGTTTCTCTTTAACAAAAATAAAAAAACTGTAGAAGCTTTAGGAAGTGCAGCCACTTTCTATTTGATTTTCTTTATTTTAAAACAGTTTCCCCAAAGGTCCTCTGAGAGAGAATAACCACCTGGCCTTTGCAAGGCTCTGGGTTCAAAGCTCTGCTCTGTGACTGCCTGGCTTTGTGACCTTAGGCAAGTCCAGTTCCCTCTCTGAATCTTGGGCACCTCATCAATTAAATAACTAAAATTCTCGATGACTTCTGTGAAGACGAATGAGGAGACATGTAAGATGGGCCTTGTGTGGGGCTCACCCGTAATGAAAAGAGGCTCCCATTACTATTCGTACTGACACTGGGAGTCAGGGACTCTGGAGAGACCATGGGGCCCCAGACATGGGAATGTGAGGCCTCCCTGTAGGAGTGGCCATGAGTGAGGAGAGAGTCTGAGCTGACCACTGAAACCAGGCCCCAGACCCCAGGGGCCCAGGGCAGAGGCTTTCTGGCAGTCCTCCTAGTTAGGGTCTCCCCTTTGAGGCCTTGCACTTCCAGAATCTGAACTCTGACACACACCCAAGTTTCGTTCATGTTCTTTGTTATCTGTCATGGTCCACTTGGTCCTGACCCAGGGGGACCCTGGACATTGATTCTGTTCTCGACCTCCAGGCCACCCACTGGAGCTTCATGGTGGAAATACAGCCCCATCTCCTGAGTTTCACATAGACACTTTAATCTGTGGCATCAACATTTTTATTGTCAAATCACCAGCGCTCCACATAGAAAGAATTATGGCTAGAACTAACGACAACAGCCTTCACATACACTGACAAAGTGCTGAAACAGCCCATGACAATTTCTGGGACCATTTTTTTAAACCTAAGTTTAATGAGTTTCATCTCTTCTCTTCTCTCCTTTCCTCTTTCTCCTCTGACCCTCTCCCTCCTGTCTTCTCCCCTAACCTGCTGTCCTGGCAGCAGTAGCTAAGGAACCACACAGAAGAACAGAAGGCAGGAAGGTCTACATTTACCTGTTACTTCACCAATTCATTTCTAACTTTTTTTTTAAAAAATGGATTTTGGCAACAAATCCTGATTGACACCTTAGTACTGTAGGCAGTTAAACTACAGCAAAGCCAGTGAGGGGCTCTTCTGTGAGTGCACAGCATAGCTTTGTAGACTAACCTGCTTGGGTTCCAATTCCAGAAGCCCAGCCTTTATTTGCTGTGCGACCTTATTTAATTCCTCTGTGAAATGGGGCTCCTGAAGCTCTCCTTACTGTGTTTTAAGAAAGTGCTGGCCCTGGCCTGGGCACTGACTCTGGTGTGAGAGGAGGCCTCCCTCCCTCCGCTGTGCCAGGTTAATGAAAACACTGAGGCATCTTTTGGAAGTGGGAAGTGCAGGACGGGTCTGGAGTCAGGAGCCCAGAAGAGCAGGGCAGCAGGCAGGATGAGCTCGGGAGAGTAGGGGTGAAGAATAAGAGACCCAGCGGCACAGCAAGCCCGGGGTTCAAATCATGACTACATCACCAACTCATCCGGTAAAGGTGGACAATTTTGTAACTCTTTAAGCCTCAGTTTTCTCATCTGACAACAGGATAACGAAAGTAGGACTCTCACTTGCTGTGAGGAGTAAGAGGCATACTGTGTTAAAGCACTTGGCCCAGAGCAAGGCAAGCCCTCTACAGACAGCGATAGTGAGACAGACCCCTGCTGCTATTATCTAGGCATTCGATTTCCATCAGTGAAATCGGAGTTGTGCCAGAGGCCTCTAGGCTCTCTCCCCAACTCTAGGATCAGTACTTCTAGGAAACTGGCTAAGGACAAGGTGAACAAAAAAGGTGTAGCCAGTGGCCGCGCTCACCTGTCGTGCTCAGGTTGTAGCCCCTAAAGTGCTTAACAGAGGTGCCAGGCGCAGTGCCCACTCTCAGTAATGAGCCCGAGGCCCGCAATGCGCCAGGCTGGCAGGGGGAGGGACCCTGTGTGCTGCGGCCAAAGGGCACAAGTGCCCAGGCTTCAGCGTCCCTGCCTGGTGGCAGTCCTGGGTCGGAGGGGATGGTCCATGGACGCCCAAGCACTCTCCTGCTCGTTCGTCACTCACCGTTCAGTCATCGCGCAGTCCAGAAGCCACTGCATGTGTCGTGCCCTCGCTTGCACCGGAGCTGCCCCCGCAGCGCCTGCCGACCCCCGGCTTCAGCTCCTGGGGACTAGGCCCGCCCAGCGCCCCGCCCCTCGACCCTCGCCCCGCCCCACTCCCCGCCTCTTGCCCTGCACGGCCAATGGTGCCGCCCCGGCTTCTCCGTCCCGCCCCGGACACGCCCCTCACTCCTCACCGGCCAATGGCACCGCCCCGTACGCCCCGCCTCGCCCCGCCCCGGGAACACCGGTAGGGTCTGGGAGCCGGGCGGTGCCGGAGGGGCTGCGGGGAAGGTTAGGGGCCTGTGACCTGCCAGGTGTCCCCAGGCCATTGCTCAGCGCGCGGCGCGTTCCAGAGTTCCCGAGGGCGCCCCGGGACGCGCGGAGAAAGCAGTCCGACTCAGCCCCGAGGGGTTCGGTGTGCGGGCGGCGGCCAGGGACTTTGCGGGTTAACGCGGACTCCTGGACTTCCAACAAAGGCCGCTGCGCAGGCGCTGCAATCACTGCAGTCACTTGTCTGCATGCCTGGTGGGGCTTGGAGTCTGGGGAGGCTTATCAGTAAAGCCCCGAGCATTTGCTATTTATTGCTCTAGGGGCACCTTTGTACAGTCTGGCTGTTTGCTTGGCATGGCCACTTAGAACTTCTTATCGTTTAAGAAATCCGATCTGGTGAATAAGAAGAAGTTAGTCTTTCTCTCCCAGTCACTGCCTCCTGGACGAAGGTTTGCCAGCACAGAGGCAGAGAGGACAGAAAACCACAGGCCATTTGGGGAACTGGAAACAGTTCAGTGTTTCTGGGGCGTGGGGGTGGCAAGGCAGGGCATGGGGTTGATGGGAAACATTTGTAATTTCTGCTTCATCTCACCATTCCCAGCTCTGACCCCTGGACCTGTTCTCTCCCACCCCTAACATAAATCATTTCAGTTTCATTCAACATGCGTTTCCTAATATTTTTAGGGTTTCATGGCCATTTTAGAATCTGATATGTATCTTCTAGAAAACGCAGGTGGCCACATGCACCAAAATCAGCCTGGAATTTGAGTCTCATGGGTCCCTGAACCCCGACTTAGAGGGCCTTTGCTAATGCTTACGTGGCTGCTGTATGACTTATGTTGCAACCTCCACCTGCAAAAAGTGACAGGACTGAAGATACCCGGTTCAGGGGCCCTCCCATTTCTGCGTTTGCTTGAATTTTTGGAGAATGGCCCATGCTTTGACAGCTCTGAGGGTCCCTGTGGTTGATGACTTGTCATGACACATTTGCTGTTCCACAGCCCTCATCAAAGCTGAGACAAATAATTGGGTGCTTCCAAAGGTTTTTTAAAACAGTGGGTAAAATTCAATATAGCTGTCAACCTCTGAGCATGAGATCCTAAGAATTTAATCACTCCTGATAGGAGAAGTAAACATAGCACAGGGTGATATAACAGTTTCCCTGGGCTCTCCGGAACTCGAGTGTGAATCATTCTCTCTGACCTAGTTAATGCTGTTCACAGGGCCATGAGTGGCTCTGAGTGAGGACTGGGTTTGGGACAGCAAGCCCATGTGTCCTGTGCCCCTATTGCGGCTCAGACACTATGCTAGTGCTTTACATTGGGGATCCCATGCAATTCCCTCAGCACTCCTGGGCAGTTGGTGTTACTCCTTGCATTTCTTTAAATTTCCATTTTTATTTTAGATTTAGGAGATACATGTGCAGGTTTGTTACAATTGTATATTGTGTGGTACTGAGGTTTGGGCTTCTATTGATCCTGTCACCCAGATAGTGAGCGTAGTACCCAGTAGGAAGTTTTTCACCCCTTGCTGCGCTGTCTCACTTCCACTTTTGGAGTCCCCAGTGTCTATTGTTTTTTTCTTTATGTCTCGGTGAACCCGATATTTAGCTCTTGCTTGTAAGTGAGAACATGTGGTGTTTGATTTTCTATTTCTGCATTAGTTCACTTAGGATAATGGTGTCCAGCTGCATCCATGCTGCAGCAAAGGACACATTGTTATTTTCTTTCATGGCTGCGAGTGCTAGAATTTTACATCGGACACAAGTGTCCATTGTCAGCATCCTCAGTTCCCTCAGAAGGAGGGTTCACCTTTTCTTTCAGGGTTCAATAGAACTGGGTGTGTTCTCCAGCTCACTTATGGTGGAGGCTGCCGATCGTGTCGGTTGCCAGCCAATATCCACTTCCTTCTTTGCAAAAAAAGAAAGAGAGATAGGAAAGAAGGAAAAGGACAGGAAGGAAGGAAGGAAGGAAGGAAGGAAGGAAGGAAGGAAGGAAGGAAGGAAGGAAGGGAGGAAGGGAGGGAGGGAGGGAGGGAGGGAGGGAGGGAAAGATCGAGGAGGGAGAGAGGGAGGAAGGAAGGAAGGAGGGTGGGAGGAAAGAGGGAAAGGGGAAGAGAGGAAAGAGAGAAGGAGGGAGGGAGGGAGAGAAAGAGGGAGGGAAAGGAGAGAGAAAAACCAACTTGTCTGTAGCAGCAACATGCTAGCCCCTAGTTATGGCTCATGCCCACTTGTATTTTTCATACTCTACTTACAACCCAACAGTGGGTCATGAAATTAACTTAGTTGATGATGTGACTAGTACTTAAACAAATGCAAGGGAAAATATCAGTGTACAGCACAAACAGTAAATATAAGTTGTGTTTTGTGGAACTTTTTGTTTGCATTCTTACTGTGGGTTACAGTTTAAAAAAAAAACAAAACAGCTGTCTAAGTCTTGACAATCCTTTTCATAGCTTTTTTCAGTGAAGCTAGAGGTGACCGTGAGACCTGCTTCTGGACACAGAGACAGGGGAAAGTGTACTGGGGGAGGAGAGATCTGAGGGATGGTGAAGATAACTTTTGCTTTCCTGGTAGAAAGAACAGATGTCTCTCCTGCTTGCCTGTCTCAAATGAGTACATGATGTGTAATATCTGGAGCATTGGCAGCCACGTTGAGATCATAATGCAACATGTCCACATGCTGAGGCTGGCAGAGCATAAAGATCAAAGGTGTCTGGATCGTTCTTAACATCATGGAGCTTCTGCACCATCCCTGCACTGCCTACTCCAGACTCCCTACCATGGAGAAAAATTAGCTCCTATTTCTTCAAGGCAGAGGTTGGTAAACCTTTTCTGTACAGTGCTGGATAGTAAATATTTTCGGCTTTGTGGGCTAAATGGTCTGTGTCACAACTACTCACCACTATTGGGGTAGTTTGAAAGTAGCCATAGACAATATGTAAACGAAAGGACATGGTTGTGGTTCTCATAAAACTATTCTAAAAAATGGATGGCAGGGCTATATATGGTGTGCCAACCCCTTTCCTAGATGATCTTGTCCCCTAATTGTCTCTCTGACCTCATCTCCTCCTACTGCCTCTCCTTCTTCCTGCTCTGATCACACTGTTTCTCCCACACACCCAGCCTGTTCCTGTCAGGGTCATGCCTTCCCATGGAGGGCTCTTTCCCCAGATGTCCGCAGCGCTCCCTCCTTCCCGTTCTTCCCCTCCTTCAGGTCTTTAATCACAAATCACCTCCTTTTTAAGGCCTTCCCTGGGCCCTCTGTAAAATGCCCCTCCCTGACCCACGCGTACCACTCTGGCGTGCTGTATATTCCAGCTCTTTATCATGAGCTCCTAGAGGAAGGGACACTATGCTTCCTTAAACGCTGATTCTGTCTGAATTGTTACAGTGTTTAATCAATATTTGATATATGATTGATTTTTTTTTCTTTTTGCCAGATTCAGGTAAGAAAACAGACTCAGGGAGGCCGAGATCCCCCTCCAAATGACACGTACAGATAGCAGTAGAGTCCAGGTTTGTGCCTGGTGGCCCCACGTGGTGGTGTCTGTACCACCCGGGAGTGAAGGAAAACAACATCTACCTCTAATGGAACACACTGGGTCTCAGGGGAGCCAAGGCCACACAGAAGTTCCTGCAAGACTTCTTGCTCCAGGACGCCACCCCAGTAAAGGAGGCCTTTGGGAGTCCATTAAGTGAGCAGGGCGTCCTGTTCATCGTGGGCAATTGCATTCTTTTTGGCCTTCCTACCTCAGAAAGACTTAGGAAATGCTGTTATTCTGCAAACAGTTCGGACTGGCTTGTAAGATCCATAAAAAGACAAATGGAAACACTCACGAGCCAATGTTTTTATGAAAGAGCCACAAAGGACAAATTTATGTTTGATTTGCAAGTAGGGAAGCTCATAAGAACCTAAAAGCCTGATAAAGACTACCCGGCCCGTCTGTCAGGCAGGCTGTTCTGTGTGGTTTTGGCTTGAGGCATCTTGGCACCAGGGCTCAGCTTCCAAAAGACCGAAAAATTACCTTCTTCCCTTTGGTGCTCCCAGGGTGAAAAGGCTGGGTACAATCACGTGTTGTTGAGATGTAATTTAGATTTTTGAGGCCTGAAAAATAGGTTTATATATCTTGATGTAAATGATATTAATAATGAGAACCATTTTCAAACCATTCTCTTAAGACAGTAAATGGGATTTTGAATTAATTTCTAATTGATCTGATTGATTCCTTAAGGTCTTTTATGGATGACTTTATGTGATTTTTTTCCCCTTCATTGTATCCAACATTACATTAAAAACAAATGACTTCTACCTTTCTTTCTTTTCTTCCTTCCTTCCTTTCTCTTTCTTTCCTTTCTTTCTTTCTTTCTTTCTTTCTTTCTTTCTTTCTTTCTTTCTTTCTTTCTTTCTTTCTTTCCTTCCTTCCTTCCTTCCTTCCCTGCCTCCCTCCCTCCTTCCTTCCTTCTTTCCTTCCTTCCTCTTTCTTTCCTTCTTCTTTCTTTCTTTTTCTTCCTTTCTTCCTTTCTTTCTCTTTCTTTCTTTCTTTCTTTCTTTCTTTCTTTCTTTTTCTTTCTTTCTTTCTTTCTTTCCTTGCTTCCTTCCTTCCCTGCCTCCCTCCCTCCTTCCTTCTTTCCTTCCTTCCTCTTTCTTTCCTTCTTCTTTCTTTCTTTCTCTTTCTTTCTTTCTTTCTTTCTTTCTTTCTTTCTCTTTCTCTCTCTCTCTTTCCCTCCTTCCTTCCTTCTTTCTTTTCTCCTTTCCTTTCCTTTCCTTTCCTTTCCTTTCCTTTCCTTTCCTTTCCTTTCCTTTCCTTTCCTTTCCTTTCCTTTCCTTTCCTTCCTTTCTCTCTCTCTCTCTCTTCTTTTTTGGCAGGTCTTGCTTGCTCTGTCCCCTAGGCTGGAGTGCAGTGAAAGTCACAGCTCACTGCAACCTCGACCTCCTATGCTCCAGCAATCCTCCCACCTTAGCCTCCTGAGTAGCTGGGACTATAGCCATGTGTCACTATACCCAGCTAATTTTTAAGTTTTTTTTATAGAGATAGGGTCTCTCTATGTTGCCCAGCTGGTCTCTAACTCCTGGACTCAAATGATCCTTCTGCCTCAGCCTCCCAAAGTGCTGGGAATTCAGGCATAAGCCACGATGCCCTACCACAAATGACCTTTTCAATCAATTTTTCAAAAAGTCTGTGTGATTCCAAATGTGTATTCTTTAGAAAACAGTTGATGATTGTGTGTGCTTGGCAGGAAGAGACCACATACAGAACGTTTCTTGCTCTGTTTGCTTTGGTGAAATCGTTGAGCAATGAGGTCATCCCGTTGCATGATCTTAATATACAGAAGACTTTGTATTTACCATCAATTTTCAGTGAATTCTCAAAAAATCTGCATACCACTTATCTTTTCTTTCTACATGAAATAGTTTTGATTAACTCCATTTGTTAGCATATAAATAATAACTTTAGGTAAATATATTTTACTCTTCAACCCATACCAGAGGCAGACTAGAAATGATAATTTATTCTCCAAGTGTACATAAAGTTTAATGATATATGCTGCATAAGTGCCTTCTTGTTAAACACACACACACAAATGCAAGATTTTATGTATTATTTTTCCATTACAATTATGCTTTAGAAAACCCTTTGCATCCTACCCTGCAGAACTAATAAGTGTGTGAGCACAGGGTTTCTTTTAAAAACTGCTGCTGAAACTTCCTTTTGGGGAAAAAATAAGTGCTTGGCTCAATCACTTTCTCTACTTGGTCTCTGAGAAAAGGGTGAGCTGTCTGACACATGTCTACTCCAAATCCATTTATGAGGACAAGGATGGTCTGAAAGCCCACATGCAGAGAACATAACTAGGCCTGGTTTTTTGATGAACCAATAGCTTTTTCCCTTTATCCTCACCTCCCTATCTTCAAGCTACTGGAAATATCTATCTATCTATTATCTATCTATCTGTCTGTCTATCTATCTATCTATCTAGATATAGATATAGATTTATCCAACAGAACAAGCTGGAAGGCTGGAGAAGGACATCTCTCCACCTTCCTAGGCTGCCCCTGCCTCCCCAGGACTGTCACCTCCCCACCCATCCACACTTCACCACCCTCCAATATTGCCTTGGGCTGTTCTCCTGTGGGGCCCAGACAGTGTGGGGCTGCTGGTAAGCTGATTGTTATTAATGGACGTTGTAACTGCTGTGAGTTGATAACATCTTAAAAAAAGACAAAAATAATTACGGTGATTTTAAAATCATCTTAAAAAAAGACAAAAATATTATGGCAAGACTCCTGAACAAACTGAATTTTCAATATAACTCTAATTTTAACAACATCAGAAAGCGACTTTATGTTGTTCAATATTTTGATCATTTAACAAACAGCAGCACTGTGAAAGGAAAGTAGGCACAAAACAGTTCAGTGTAGGAGGGTTTACAGAAGGACAGCGCTTCTCAAAGGAGAATGTCTTAAAAATGGATTTTCCTCCACAAAGAGCCTGGTGTTGCAGCTTGGGCTCCAGAATTCCTATGAATAGTGAGATATGACTGAGATGCAAGGCTGTGAACTAGTAAGTGATCAGGACCTTCCCTCAAGCCAGGATGTGAAACAGCCAGAGGAAGTGGAGACCTCCCAGATGGAAAAGGAAAGGAACCTTGAGAGGGCACAGCACAGATGCACAAACAAGGGCGATCTGTCCAGCTCCGGGACTGCACGTTTTAAAACACACCATCCTCAGGGCATTCTGGGAAAATCCACCAGCCAGCCAGTGTGACTGCTCCCATGTCCTGGAGGGAAGCTCTGTCCTCTCTATCTCTTTCAAGTATGCAGCTTCCAAGGAATGTAAAACATTCCCCAAAGGGGAAGGGCCAAGCTGGCCCACAGCTAGCTAGACTTGACCTGTTAACCCTGTGTTCAGTTGAGTTGACCTCACCTCCCAGCCTGCCATCAAAGCCACCTCTGTTAAGCCTCCCATTTGATGGGGGCTGCCCATGCCCAAGCTGCCTTCCCAGTCTTCCTAACTGTGAACTAAGGACTTGTGTTTAAGAAAGGATAGAGCCATGTAATTGCAAGTTGTCTTAAGTTTTGTCTCATTTGGAGATCATCTCTGGCTTTTCACCTTGAAAACTAATGCTCTCAAAACAATGAATAAGCTGTCGACCTTACAGCTGAGACAGAATTAGAATGATTAGTGGATTAATCAGGGTTATTCCAGAGAAACAGTATATGTGTTTATATATATCTCCCATTGAGTTCAAGAAAGAGATGGGTGTAGCTAGCTAGGTAGCTCACTATATAGCTAGATAGATAGATTATAAGGAATATTTGGCTCATGTAATTGTGGGGCTGCCAAATTCAGAATCTGCTGGGCTGATCCCAGCAGGCTGGAGATTTAGGTTAGTTGATGTTGCAGTGTTGAGTCTGAAATCTGCAGGCCAGCAAGGTGGAAACTGAATCAGGGTTTCCATGTTGCAGTCTTGAGGCACAGTCGCCTCTTTTTCAGGCACTTCAATCTTTGCTCTTAACGCCTTTAGTTGATTGGATGAAGCCCACCCACATTATGAAGGGAAGTCTTCATTACTCAAAGTCTGCTGATTTATATGTATGTGTCTTCTGAAAAAAATACCTTCACAGTGACATCGAGACTGGTGTTTGATCAAACACACAATAGGCTAACCAAGTGGACACCTAGAATTAACCATCACAACCAGTAAGCGTGGAGAGTTTGACCCACAGCTCATACTCATGTTTTATCAGGATAGACTCTGTGGCAGAGCATGGCCTGATGCCAGGGCATTCCGAGGCTCCTTAGCATGTAATGGTGCCTCTTTTTCCTGGGATTTCATCTACCTGTGCAACCTGTGGCAATGTTTGAGAAATTTTTGCTACTCCATTGGTCTAATGAATCAAACTTAGGGATTGGCAAACATCTTCGGTAAAGGGCCAGATAATGAATATTTTCTTATTTGTAGGTCGCACTATCTCTCTTGCAACTGCTCATATAACCATAGGAAATATGTAAGTGAATGAGTGTGGCTGTGTTCCAATAAAACTTTATTTACAAAAATAAGCAGAGGGCCCCATTTGGGCCACAGGTGAAGAAGAGTTTGTATGACATCTCCCTTTGGCAGGGATCTTTTCTCCCTGCCAAACATAGTGAAGGGGATGGATAAGTGACACCACGGACTGGGATACTTTTAGTTGTGAAGAATAAAAAACCCAAACAATGGGGATTTTATGACCTCACATAATAAAAATCCTCAGCAATGGGTAGCTCTAGATTTAGTTTATTCAATGTCTCAAAGTCATCTCGAAGGACCCAAGTTCTTTCCATCTTTGCTCATTGCCATCTTCAGCATATTGGTTTAATTCTCCTTGATATTTGCAAATGATTTCTGTGCTTTCTCTCAGACACGCCCACATTCAGGGGAAGAAGAGGAAGAGTGTGTTCCAATGAGGCTCCTTTTTTTTTTTTTATTTTTTGAGACATGGTCTCGCTCTGTTGCCCAGACTGGAGTGAGTGGCATGATCACAACTCACTGCAGCCTTGACCTCCCAGGATCAGGTGATCCTCCCACCTCAGCCTCCTAAGTAGCTGGGATCACAGGTACACACCACCACACCTGGCTAATTTTTTGTAGAAATGAGGTCTCACTTTGTTGTCCAGGCTGGTTTCAAACTCCTGGGCTCAAGCAATCCTCCTGACTTGACCTCCCAAAGTGCTGGGTTTACAGGTGTGAGCCACGGTGCCCCACCTTTTAGTACTGAGGGAAGGAAACCTTTCCCAGAAGCTTCCCCGTCACCTTCTCTTTCTTCCCATTGGCCAGGGCTAGGGTGCAGGCACCTTGGGGAGTGTAGACCACTGTGACTGACCCAGTGCAGGACATGGCTGGCCAAGAGGAGGAAGGTACATGAGCCAGGACAATTCAAGCTCCATCAGAAAGCCGGGGGTCAATAGCGTCCCGTGGAAGAAGCCCTGCAATGCCTGCCACAACTCTGCAGTGTCCCAGCAGCTGAGGGGGTCTATTCCAGCGGCAAGATCATGGCCTGCAAAGTGTGAGCTAGGTCTCAAGAGGGAGAGAGGGAACAGGCTGGAGAGATGAAAGTCCTGGAGAGCAGCTCCTCTGGAGACCACTGTGCATGAGGAGTGAGGTTTGGGGCAGCTGGGAGAGGACCCAGAGATGGGGAGAGATAGAGGGAGTATGGCCAG